GTAGTGGTAGTTATGTCAAATTTTTTCGTTGACGTTGAATTGAAAACATGCGCCGATGTATGTACAACAATCTGTATTACATAAATAAAAAAAACATCTCATGGGTATGTGTGTTACGTATAGTTTGGGGTAGTTTGAGCGTCCAAATATATCGATGTGAGTAACGCCAGAAGAAAACCAGAATTCGTGATTTCAAGTTTATTATTTACTGGACTCAGCCTTAATCAAAGACACGTATGATACGTATCTTAACGTGTTGTTGGCTGGTAAATAATAAATAAGAATTTGAAAAGCCAGAAGTTTGGAGTCACACATAACCAACTGTTTGTAACCTGATGTTTTATCAGAATAACAAACAAAATTTATTAATGATTTTTTATTAATGGTTTAAAGCTTTATACGTACTTTATTATCCTAATATTTATATTAACGTTAACCTAATATTCTTATGAACGCAAGTATTACCATTTTTGTTAATAGGACATTTTTAGAAATTTGTCAAACATGGTTTAATCCGAAACTTTAAGTGCTTTAATGTTTCTAATGGTCATCACAAAGAAGCATTTCCTTTGTATAAATATGTTTGTTGTAAATCCTCACTTCAATAAGTTAAACGGGGATATAATTATAGGGTAATAATAAGTGAGGAATAAAATAAAATATCGAGAAACATATTTGTACGTACGTTACGTATTCATAAGGTTAGACGTAATACAGTAATTTAAGAAAATTGGTGTATTTATACGTATGTGTGCGTACGTACAATACATATATGTAGCACCACTTTTTAGGACTAGGATTTAGAGAGTACAAATACGTGGTTGTAGATATTATTTATTACATCAATGTAAGTTAATGTAAGTACTGAATCAACGATTAACCAATCAACGAACATATTATAGCATTTGTGTATGCATTCGTAAAATACAATACTGACGGTTGCTGGCATATATAGTGGTCCAATTGAAACATAATTATATTAACGAGAAAAAAACACTTGGTCCTGAAAAAAAGAAGAACCTTTGTCTTTCCTTTAACTAAAATTCTCTCGTCTTGATATGGCTATATCACGGAAAATCACACGGCTTTTCTCTAAATTACAGGTAACGGTAAATCTACAATAACGATAATCGCTCTTGTAGCATGGATACGTGCATTATCGTTTAATTGCTAAAAAAATTTTTTAACGTTAAGAAACAAAAATCAGGACCTAGAACGTTGACAATTGACACTTCGAGGAATTCAAGTGATTCAAGTGATATTAGTGAATATTATATAAAAACACCTAATAATACATCAATACCACGACCTTTATCAGCTTTATCAGGACCACAACCTTTATCAGGATCCGATATTAAATTAACACCACAACCTTTATCACAACCTTTTTCACAAACATTATCAGAATTCGATATTAAATCAACACCACAATCTTTATCACAACCTTTATCACGACCTTTATCACGATCTTTATCACGACCTTTATCACGACCTTTATCAGCTTTATCAGCTTTATCAGCTTTATCAGCCTTGTCAGGATCACAAACATTATCAGGATCCGATATTAAATTTATAATTCCACCAGAAATTTTCATAGAAATATGTTTACATCTTGCACCACAAGATCTTTATTCTCTTTCAACCGTATGCAAATATTTTCGAAATATCTTATGGTCAACTACAACTACTACACAAACAATTTGGGAAAAGTCTAGAATTAAATATTCAAGTTATTTGAAATTACCACCTCCATTTGATATGACAGAACAAGAATATATTTGGTTAACTTTATTACCAAAAAATTGTCAATTTTGTTCAAAACCTTACAAACAATATTTATACGATATTTGGCCTTCTAGAATTGTTGCTTGCGAATCTTGTTTTAGAAAAAATACTATCTACACTATGTAAGTCTTGGTTTGTATATTTTAATTTTTGATTGGTTATATATTTGTATTTTTTTTTGTTTTTCATACAAAGACTACTCTTTTTTAAAGACTACTTTTTTTTAAAGACTACTTTTTTTTTAAAGACTGCTTTTTTTTTAAAGACTGCTTTTTTTTTAAAGACTACTTTTTTTTAAAGACTGCTTTTTTTTTAAAGACTACTTTTTTTTAAAGACTACTTTTTTTTAAAGACTACTTTTTTTTTTTTTATAGTAAAGACGATCGACCACGATGCATTCCTCGAGAAATCTTTAATTGTATTCCACACACAAGATATTTTTATTATGAAATTTTTGTAATTTATTGGATCCCAGACATAGAAAATACAAAAGAAGAATATAATTCATTAGATAAAAGTCAAAGAGAAGAATGGATTGAAGAACGAAAAGAACAAGTTAAAAGAGCCAAAGAAGTACTTAATTTATATTTTCAACAAGATTATCAAGAGGTTTATAAAAGTGGTGTTTTTAATCCTAATCGTGGTTATAATGAACCTCGAAAAAAATTTTAAGAAAATTTTTTAAAAAAACGATAACAATAATATATATTCAAGTACTTTTTTAACTAATTATTACGTAGTTATTTCTCTTGATTTTCAACAGCCAAAATTAATGGAATTTTTTTTGGAAAATCAACTAGTAAATACTGTATTTATGATTTACGTACGGTTACGTTTAGTACATAATTGTAACAATCGAAACCAATACGTTTTAAAATGTCATGGACTGAGATCCAACTGTACATTACATAAACAAACACTCACAGATATATATATTATTCAAGTTAAGTTTTGCCATTTTCAGTTTAGCTACTCCGCTGCTGTGTCAGCCTATTTTTAGATGCATTAACTGTTGGATTCAATTAAGGAGTAATATATACATATATAAATATATAAAAAAATATATATTGATTGGCTAACGTTTAAGATTAACTATCCTTTTTTTTTTTTTTTTTTTTTTTGCTATACATAAATAAAAGGTTAGACTTTTTAGCTAAAAAACCTATATTTATAAATTTATGACTTCCCTTAACGACAAGATATTCCCTGTTTCATTAAATAAGAAATTTTATATCAATATCATATCAGTTGACAATATCATACGTAGTTGATAGAAATAATTTATTTGAAATGCCAAAACATTAATAATAAAAAAAAAAAAAATCCTTTTCAACCTTTTCATTCTCAAAAATTTTTTTTAGTATCGAGATACGTTCGTAAAATGGCGCGAAAAACAGAAAGTATCTTACCACACTCAAATTATGTGCAAGATGGTAGTACATCTACTATCTTAGCTGATGCAAAAGACAATCCTAAAAATGCCAAGAAAAGTTTTGTAAAACGTATAAGAAGATTTATAAAACTTCATTGTAATAGATCTCGAATAATCCTTCTTATAATTTTTCTCATAACAATTTCTGCCATAATAACAATTTTCTTAATTCTAAATAAAAATCCTTTTGTATTAATAAGACCCCTTTGTAAATCTCAATTCGGTATGCCATCCCTTAATCAAACTTTTACCGCCTTAGCTAAATTAGAAACAAATCAAGTAGATGATAGTTCTATCTCGTACTCTTTTACCGATTCTTCTGGTTTCATAGGAAAATATAGATTTGGTGAAATAATGTTGAGTAATTTAGGTTATTACCGGTATAAATCTAATTTTACTCACAATGGTACTGAAATTAAAAATTTTTGGAATGGAACGTGGACCGGTAAAAATGGTTGTAATAGTTATAATGATTTTTTAAATAATAAGTTGAACGTTCAAGAACGTGCTATAAGAGAAGCTTTTCAATTTAATTTACTTAGAATTAATCATTTATTATCTTCTCCTTCTTATAATCAATCTTTATCGGATTATTTAGATAAATCTTTGAAATTTTCTTCAGGTTGTAATTTTCAATCAGATGGTTTGAGCGTTCCTAATGTTACTTTAGCTGGTATTTTGGCTTCGGCTTATTTGATTGATCCTGAGGATGTTGGTAAAGCTTTTGTTGAAGGTGTGGCTCCTTGTGATAATAGAACTTTAACTAGTTTAACGAGATATTTACTGGACTTTGGTGGTTGTGATTTTAGTTCTGAAAACGTTAATGAGGCTGTATCTTCCTTTGCTAATGTATCGTTAAATTCTATGTAATATAATCTGTCTTAAAAATATTCTGCTGTGTTATGTGTTAAAATATTGCTGTCTTAAAATATTGCTGTGTTAAAATATTTAAAATACTGCTGGGTTAAAATATTGGTAGCAATTTCTACCCTAATACCCGAATATAAATACATTTCCCCAATTCATTTCCTAGTTGATGTTAAAATTATTACAATTCAATATAATGTATTAAGTATTTGACTTTGTTTATAGTATGTTATTTTTACTACTCTTGTGTATTGTTACTTCTGATTTCATGTTACTAATAGTTATATTCCGCTAAAGCATATCTAATTCCAAATATTTTACACTACACCACTACACTCAAGATTTTATTTTTAGTTCAGTAACGAAGAGTACAAGCCTATACTTCATGAAGATACTTCATGAAGACACATTAAGTCAAAAACTTGCTTCAAAATAACCGATTTTTTATTTTAGAACGACCCAATTTTACTATTTAAAAATCTGACGCGTCTCAGAATTAGATTCTTATAGAAAACATTAAACATAATAATTAACTTTGATAGAATCGATGAAACAATCATAAATCCTTATGTATTATGAAAATAACAAAATAGTAGTAACATGTTAAATATAACAAATATAAAAAAGCACCTAATAAACTTGAGATCAGCGGTAATATAAATTACAAGAATTTTTGCCAGGTTTATCCAGTGACGCGTTGTAACCTTTTAACTTATAAAATAAATATAATTGAATGTTTATTGTATGCTTGTTATTTTTAAATTCTGTAAGGGGTGTAAAAATTTGTACAGAAATTAAATTCATCTGGCACTATCAACGGGCCCTGCGTTGATCATACTGATCATTATTATTATTATTATTAACAATAAACGATTTTTTTTTTGTGACGACTTTAATAAATAATTACAGGTTAAATTTATGAAATGAATAATTCGAATACGTGAATACGTAAGTGTGTACGTGAGTGTGTGTACGTGAGTGTGTGTACGTGAGTGTGTACGTGAGTGTGTGTGTGTACGTGAGTGCTTACGTATCACATTTATATATCAGATATATTATGATGAAAAAGATCCAATCATATGATCTGTACGAAGTCTCTACAAACGAAAAAAAAGTATATATTTAGAGAATCCTGATTTTTTTGAGTTTATCTAATTTCTTTCGTTTTCTTTGTGTATTGAAAATCAAGGTATTATTCTTGATGTTTGTTAATTTAACTCATACGCAAGCATAATACACGAGTATAATACATGAGTGTAATACACGAGTATAATACACGAGTATAATACACAAGTATAATACATGAGTGTAATACAATCTTTTTTTTAAAAAAAAGGTCAAATCAAGATAGAAATTTCATCATTGTCGATACTCGTGTTACCTTTATATAACCAGTACATAAACACAAGTCACGATGAATACCATGAGTTGCAGACCTAGAGACGAGGGTAAAAAAAGAAAAAGGAGCTACTATAATGTATATAGTATTACTTTTGTCGATGTTTCATAATTTTACCGAAAACCCCTTTGGTTTTCAGAAATTCGCGTTGCTCATTTAGTTAAAGGTCTCTCGTTGGATGAAAATGAATGGGAGGAACTTGATAATCAATCAATGGAGATGGATATCGAATGTATCAGACATGATTCTAAAGATGATAATGTAGATACTTGGGAACCTGATCGTTATGAAGTACACAAAATTATTGCTCATAAGGTTGTGAATGTAAGTGTTTCTTACTTAATATTCTTTTTTTTTTTTTCGTGTTTCAATTACTTCATTATTATTTTTTTATAGGGTCGAGATCTTTATCTCGTTATGTGGAGAGGCTACTCCAAGGACACGTAATTCTGTTTTTAATATTATGTGACTCTTTATCATATATATATATTTTAAACTTTTATCTTACATATTTAAGTTGGGAACCTGCTGAGAATCTCGATGATTGCCGCGAAAAACTTGATGAATTCCGTAAACTTTCCAATGAGATGAAAATAACCGAGCAATGTTATCAACAATATGAATGTGATCCTAAAGAACGTAATTTGTTTTTAAATGCTCACAATGATTCTGGTCGTATTAACTTTGATCTTTACGATAAGATCATTCTCGGAAGAATAAGAAAAGATTACGAATATAATGAATTTGTATCTGATCTTTTGATCGAATGGTACGTTCTTATTGGTTAGTTTATCTATACAATTTGTTACTTATCCATCTAAATTATTATTATTATGTTTTCAAAGTGTCCCTGTTGCCGAGATCAGCGAAAGAGGTCGAAAAGAAGAAGAAGAAGCCAAGCGTCGTGAAGAATATGACTTGTTTTAGTAATCGTTGATTAAAGGAATTTGTCTGTTGAGAATATTTGTTTCAGATTTTCTGTTACAATATTCCTATTGTATATGATGTTTCAAAAAATTTTTCACGTTAACCTGTTTTAGAATTGAAATGTTAAGAATCATCATCTCATGTAAATTTTATGAAACCAAATGCAGATAGAACAATAATATAGAATCTTCATTTATCTGAGACGTAATTCTATTTATTTTGACAATGATAAACGTTGATCCAAAAACATCATTTTTTAAACGGTCGATTACATTGTTGAATACTTTATACGTACGTACGTACGTGCGTACGCGTATCATTAGTGTATCATGTGCAAGATAGAACATGGTCAACTTTGGACATAACTGTATAACGAATTCACACCGTACAAACTTTTTAACAAATTAGTAAATAAGTATCCTTATTATAACAATAGAGTTGATTATAAAATTATAAAATTTGTCAAGCGAAGTTTTCTAAACACATGCTACTGCAAGATGGCGGTTACGTATTTTACAAAGTTTCAGGAATGCCTGGTTTCTAGTTCAACCAGTTCTGATTTAGGTTTGGAATTCAAAATTGAACATGTCCATCTTTGTAGATGCAAGTGTCCATCGTTGTGGATAGCGATTATCTATCCTTGTGAATAGTTATGCAAACGGTTAGTTCGGCTCGGCTTACGGCTAATGCTAACAAAGCCGAGCCGATCCTTCGGCTCTGCAGACCAAAACTGAGTCATTTACGTATAAGTATAAGCTGAATCTAATTAATTTGAGCCATGTTAATGCTCATAGACGATACATGTTTTTCTAAAATTTAATGTTACCTAACACTAATTCAAACTACAAATGATGATAGATTAGCATTTTAGATTTTCGAAAAACGGATTTCTAGCTGATCGTACCATTTCACCGATAATCGTTCATAGGCAATAGGCACCTGATTTATCAATTCACAGACAAGTTACATTTCATAGATAGTTTATCTCACCAACCGTTATTTCATAGGCAATTTATTTTCATCTCTAATAACAATTATTAAAATTTGACAGTGAAGCAAGCTGTCGGTGAAATAAATTTCGAAATTAATTATCTATGAATTTATTTCATCTCTAATAACAATTATTAAAATTTGACAGTGAAGTAAGCTGTCGGTGAAATAAATTTCGTAATTAATTATCTATGAAATAAACTTTTCTATGTGTTTATAAAGTAATTGCCTATTTAGTGAGGAGAACCATTTTTAGTTTTCAATTATATTTCTATCTTTAAATCTCATCATAGTCACTTGAAATTTATTATATATATTTATATACTTCTAGCTATTACAAAACATATAAATTTATTTTATATATATGTACAGTTACAACTTTTTGTAATTACCAAATTTTTGTTTTTTTTCTAACCTGGAGATTGTGATTAGATTGAAGTTTGACTGTATATTTAATTATTAAAATAAATTTTTATTAGCCATGCTAATTTTACTATTGATCAATAATTTCATAATTAAAAATTCAAGAAAACCTATTTTAAAATTTGATTGGTTGTCGATCCTTGAAATTTCATTGATTGTAAATGTTCTATATGAAAACACAATCGATTATATTATAAGTCACTGATGAATATGATTATATTTGATTAAATTTGCCATAAGCAAGTAGCAGTAAAGAATAAAATTTATTTAAAATTTCATTACTTGTTTGTTATAAAAATTTATGACTTACTATTTGCAAGCTATAATTTTTTTTTAATTTTTTTATAATTAAGGTTAGCCTCTTTGGCTTATCTCTTTTATTAGATTGTAGGATCATGTGGTGCCTTTTTCAAGAGGGTCTCAGACAAGTATATTCTGACAAGGATACATTTGGCCACACGTACAACTTTAGTTATTGCATATTTAAGGAATCTGCTATATCTATTACTAGCTATAGTTATTCACCATGTGCTATATCTGAGATCCGCCTGTGGATTCCTCATTTATACCCTCTGATCTGAGTTTCCTATGCCAATCCATCTAACCTCATCCAAAACATATAATACATTAGTTAGTCCAAGTTCTGAGATTGTTGCATCTATTTATAGAATTACTGGCATAGTTAACCGATTCATCTTCAAGTGTATTGCTTGTTAGAGTAGTTTGGTATTCACTATTATCATATTACTATATTACTTAGTCTTTTTCAGATAAGTTTTGCCAAATAAGTTCTATATCTTTACAGGCAGGTTACACTGCCAACTCTTTTTGCAGATAAGTTTGCTAGATAGGTTTTAAGCCTTTATAAGCAAATCACACTGCTGAACTCTCTGGACTTTATAAGTTTGCTTAAATCCTGATACTCTTTCTTCAAAACAACCCAGTATCTTTCTTTTCAGTATCTTTTAGCCAGTCTTTTTAAACTATCAATCCAGATGGCTCAGAAGAGACATCAGTCCTTTTCTCTGGTTAACCTGACAGCCTGGTTAGTGAAGTAACTTGTTAATACTCTTGCTTTGTCTAGTTCACCAGCTTTAGATAAAGCCTATTTTGGTAGCCACTGCCAAAAGTTTATGCTACATCTCTACTTGGATCTTGCCAAGCAGGCTTCCTTAGTACTATCCATCAGATTAACATAATCTTAAAGGATCAATTTTACCGACCCATTTTTCAAATTTCTTTATTTGGAAGGATGCTAAACCGAAGCAATTAAAATTAGGGCTGGGGTTGTTCAGAGGTTAGAGATTAAGCAAGGTTTATATGTAAAATTGCACTCCCGACATTTTTTGCTAATGCCCCAAGAGAGGTTTAGACACTCATTTCTTGTATTTTTGAATTTTGTTGTTTTTTTTGCTTCGTAAAAATTTTATGATTTGATTGGTTAGTTTATGTAGATCACCCAATTTGATTGGTTAATTTATATAGATCACCCAAATAAGGAAATTGAAAAATGGGTCAGTAAAATTGGTCATCTTAAAGACTTATTATAAATTTACACCACCTTACTAATTTTGTATCTCTTTTATGCAACTCATACATTATACAAATATCTAAGATCTTCCTTAGATTGGCCTGATAGTACAATGGGTATTCTTTTTAATAAGGTATGATCAGTTGTAACAGAATCTTTTTTCTAACATACAAGAAAGTTGCTATTATATAAGAAAATTTATTTTTTTTGTCATCAGTGGGAATTGAATTCTGGATATGCTGCTTGGAGGAGTGATAACCCAACTACTTCACTAAGTCACCATACTCGTAAGCTATAAATTTATATAGCCAACAGGTAATAAAATTTTAAAGAAAATTTATTCTTCAATATTACTTGCTTCTGACAAATATAATTAGATATAATTAGATTAGTTAACGATTTATTATAAGATCTATTGTATTTTTATCAATCAAATAAATTTTTTATCATACTTTAAAATATAATAAATAGTTATATATATACAGTGTATAGTAAATAGTAAAATACTGTTATACAGTATGTAAATAATAAAATAATATTATATAATTAAAAATTAAATTTTAATTTTTTAAAAAAATTATGAACAATAGTTAAAAAAAAATTATTTATTACTCTGATGAATTATTTATTTCTTTAACCTTTTTTTAAAAAGCAACTTAATATATATTGTCACAGCTAATGCTGAATTTAGCTAATGCTGAATATTATGTGAGAATTTAAGCTGGAAATTGCAGATCGCATATTGATCATGAAAATTCAAAACAAACATCTCTTTTGTCAAAAATCACCAATTTCTCAAAAACCTGTATAAAAAACAATACTTTATACATTAACAAAAAGTTTTCTTTAAACAATTTTACTATATAACCTCCTAAATTCTTAACACTAATATAGGCAATAACTCTAAACACAAACAAACTTAAAGAACTTTGTTGTTGGTTACGTAGGATGGTAATATTTTGTACTTCATTTTAGTTAGGGTTAATGCTTAAGATATGGTTAGGTGTTAGTTGATATAATAGCAAAATTGCCTCAAAAAAATTTTTGTTAGAATACTAAAGATTGTTTCCTATGAATATTTTTGTATTATAAACAAACCAAATGTTTATTTTGATTTTTCCTAATCAACTTGCAATCTGCAGTTTTTGGCCCAAATAATCATGTGATATTCAATATCAACCAAATCTAGCATCAGCCATAACATATATTAACAAGTTATAACAAGACAAAAATTTTATTTTGATTGAATAATTATTTCTAATGAAAAATAATATTATATAATTTTAAATAAAAAAATATATTTGTAAATAGCCAGAAAAATTTTATAATTAGATTAATCTAAAATTTTGCAAGATTATAATTTGAAAATGTATTTTAATATAAGCTTTGGAGATCAAATAAAATCAAATATTTTTACCAACTTTAATTAGAGACAATTTGGATTATAGTTATATTTAATAAAAGTTTTTATATTAAATTTTTGTTATTTAAAACAAGATAACTAAGAAAAATTAATACTTTTTTTTAAATTTTTTATTTTTTTATTTTTTTTTACGGTTTATAGAATGACCTCATTGGTTGGGAGTTTTCTTTATTATTACAGTATCTGCAGTCCATATTTTTACGGAAGGGTTTACAGTAACATATCAACAAGGATACAATAAGCCATATATACAACTTCAGTCATTGTCTATTTAAGAGTTCTGCCTATAGGTTCCCCACTCATTGCTATATCTAAGACCCGCTTGTGAGTTCCCTATTTAAACTCTCTGATTTTTAATGTTATTCTGCTCACGTGATTCTTAATTTAGGTACTTGGTCCAACCTTCAGGCTACTTTACCCATAAGGTAAATTCTACCAAAGGAGGTAGTTCCTACAGCCACACCTTATCCGAATTTTATTACACCAGAGGTAATTCTATATTAGGTAAGGCTAATCCTTTCCACAAACATCAGCAACATTCTCCACATTTCTCACTATAGTAGTGCCTGCACTCTGCTATACCGGTTTCCTTCTGGGAATTCCTTAAACCAAATGTATACCTTCACTTGGACT